CGTGCTCCATGTCTCCATGCCATTTTATGTCTTCTCTTTTTTCTTCTCTTTCTCCTTGGAAAAATGGGCAAATTTCAAGTAGTTACAATTTTCTATTCGTAAAATTGACAATTGTTATCTTTCCTAGCCCTCCCCCAATAAACCCTCCTACCATGCCCAGCTCCAAACCCACCGCCCCACTCCATTCAATTACATCCCTAAAATTTAGTTGATTTTGAAGTCAAAATTTTGACTTCAAAGTCAACTAAACTTTGGGGATATAATTGAAGGGGGTGGAGCGGTGGGTTCGGGACGGGGCAAAGTGGGGAGTTTACCGGGGGTGTGCATGTCTTATTATTATTATTATTATTATTATTATTATTATTATTTTTATTATTATTATTATTATTATTATTATTAACTTTTTTCCACACTTGAGATTGCGTGGTGGAGATGTAGTGGTGTACATTTGAGGTACACTTTTTGAGTTTTTCCTAACATTTTTTGTTATTATTATGGCGATCGAAAACCCCTTACTGATTGGGAAAATGAGCACCGATACCTCATCTGTTTTTTAAACTTATTTCTAAATCTCTTGTAATTTCAAAATTTTTCAACCACATCCACTCTAATAATTTTCCGATCATTTTCACACAAAAAGGGTTTGGTACCTTTTTTCCTAAACCACGATGGGCAACACAACTCATTTCTTATTTTTCATTTATTTTTTGTTTTTTCATATTTAACTCTTTTTCATCTTTTTTTATTTTCTTAAAAAAGTTTTTTGAATTTATTTTCTAATTTTTTAATAGTATTTTAAAAAAATCGAAATTGTTTGTGTTTGGAATAAATATAAAAATAAAAAAAATAACATATACTACATCTATCTCAAATTATACATTTTTTTATAGAATTAAAAAAATAAAATATGGAATAAAAAATAAAAATAAGAATATGGAAAAATAAAATGAAAAAAGTTGAAGCATATAAATATAATTTTAATTTTTTCGGAAAATCTAGAAAATTTCTTAGCATTGGGATGTCCAAAAAAAGGAAATTCATTTTGATTTTCTCTTTTATTTTATATTTTATTCCTTATTGTTTGATTCTTCGAAAAAAAGGTTTTACTCCGTATTTTTTATTTCTTCGAAACATAAACAATAAAAAAAATTAATTTGAGATGTGTAAATGTTGTACATGTTAATTATTTTTTATTTAAATAAAAACAATTTAAAATTTTAAGAAGATTATAAAAATAATTAAAAAGAAATTAAACAAAACCTTCATAATTAAAAGAAACAATTAGCGAAAAAGTGAAAAAACAAAAAATGAATGGAAAATTATAAATGAGCACCAGTGCCCCCTTATGATTCGGAAAATATGCACAAATGTCACCTTTTTTGCAAGAAAAATGGCCAGAAAATAATTAGAGGGGGTGTATGTGCAAGATTTTGTAAACACGTGAATTTTAGAAATAAGTTTTGAAAACAAAGGTACATATTTTCCAAACTACATGAGGTACTCGAGCCTTTTGGAGTTATTATTTTTTAATTCTATTGACCGTATAACAATGTAATATCTGTTCATACATTTTCCAATCTAATGATGCATAAAGAGCCAACACCTATGCCTTTACTAGGGCTCAAATCTGGGTGAACTTCCTCATTAATTTTGGAGAGTGGGTTTCCTACCATCTAGCTAGTGGAAAAGTTCATTTATTATTATTATTATTATTATTATTATTATTATTATTATTATTATTATTGATATTATTATTATTATTATTACTATTATTACTATTTTTATTATTATAAGAAGGATAAGGATCATTAATTAGGATCGAATTATCGTAAATCCCCAATAAATCGTACGGAGTATAACAAAGTATTGTATAAGTAATTAGGTAAATCTTTATATATAAAATTTGAGAATTAAACTCTCAAAAATTTGACATGTGGCAGGCTACTTGGCATTTTTTTACACATCATCCGCCACTTTTGATGACTTAAGTGACTTGACAATTTTAAATTAAAATATGGAAAGATCTTATTAGAGCAAATATTCATTCCCAATTAAAGCACATACGAAAAACGTTTACAGGGTATATGTAAAGTAATTATAATTAGGAGGTTATTAATGTGTAATTATAAAAAACTTTCAATTAATTCGTTAAGGGAATTTTTTTGCTAATCCTACCTTTTATTATAAAATTTGGGACTTCGGCTCACAGGATATTGGAATGTCACGAGTTAATTTGGCATTTTTATAAAATCAAATTCTAAAATAATCAAAATAATGTTTTAAATGTCTAAAATCAGCTTCTAAAATAATAAGTTAAAATTAAAATTCATATTTCTTATTTATTTATTATCAAAATGATACTCTTTTTCTTAAACTTTTAAATTAATATTTTTGACTAACAAAATATTTTTTGTGTGTAACAAAAAATTTCAAGATGAACAAATAATTAATAATTATGTGAAAAAGAAATTAACATAATTATTAAAAAATACATTAATAAGACTGATTGGAGAAAAATATCTTATTAGAAAAGACTATTTTGAGATTAATCAAAGAAATTTATAAAAAAGAAACTACAATACTTTAGACTATATTTTCTAGGAGAATGATATTGTTGATTGGAATATTAGAATAATAATATTGCTTATTGAATTATGGAGTACATGATAGAGTATATATAAGAGAAACTCCTAACACAACTAAGAATAGAGAATGAAAACTAACATACAACATCTACCACAAATAGGATTAGGAATTTGACTAATAATGAAACACTACCATAACCAATACCACAAGAAGTACTCTTAATATTATTGTCTAACATCCCCCTCAAGCTGAACTCTGGCTAAAGCAAGAGAAAGCTTGGACACTAGCTGGAAATGGGAAACTTTGAGAAGAGAGAAGTCAAACATGCGCCGGTGGCTGCTCACGTCGTTGGAGAAGAGAGAAGTGTGACGCGCGCCGGTGGCTGCTGATGTCGTTGGAGAAGAGAGAAGTCTGACTGGCGCCGGTGGCTGCTGACGTCGTTGGAGAAGAGAGAAGTCTGACGTGCACTGATAGCTGCTAACGTTGTTGGAGAAGAGAGAAATTGACGTGCGCTAGTAGCTACTGACGTCGATGAAGAAGAGAGAAGGTTGACGTGCGCTTGTAGCGGTTGACGTCGAAGAAGAATAGAGAAAGCTACTGGAGGTGCCTGTTTGACTGAAGATTCTTGACATTTTTTTGTCTTTTTCTTAGATCCGGGCAATGCCCTATTTCCTTCTTGAAGGGGTGAGTTGTAGAGGTCTTATTTCCTCTTTCACTACTTCCCCTCTTGGCTTTGCTTTTGTGCTGATTTACTTTAGATTTTTATTGGTTCAACAGAAGAGAAAGGGAAGGGAGGTTGATGATTAGAATGAGTGATTTTAGAGAGAAAAAAGTATGTTAAGAATTGGTGATGGAAAAAAAATTTGGGTCTGAGATTTTGATATGGTGAATTGGAGAGAAACAACAATCATTTTTTTTCCCTTTTTTTTGAGAAGATAAGATGATATGAGAGAGTTTGTGAGGAGTTGGGGTTTTTTTTTGAAGAACCATGGAGATGACAAGAGAAAAGTTCCTCCTTTGATAGTTTTTTTGTGTGATTTCAACAAGGGTTTTTTTCTTCTTTTTTCATTTGAGTGGAGAAGTTGATTTGAGGATAAAGAAAGAAAAAAATAGAGGTGAATACGGTGGAGTCGCCGTCGCCGGAATTACCGGCGGCGGCGGAGGGAGCAAAGATCTTTTTTTTTTGTCGCCAAGAGCGGTGGCTCTGATACCATGTTGATTGGAATATTAGAATAATAATATTGCTTATTGAATTATGGAGTACATGATAGAGTATATATAAGAGAAACTCCTAACACAACTAAGAATAGAGAATGGAAACTAACATACAACATCTACCACAAATAGGATTAGGAAGTTGACTAATAATGAAACACTACCATAACCAATACCACAAGAAGTACTGTTAGTATTATTGTCTAACAGATATGTGTCATGATTATGTATCTCACTTTTAGACAAATGGGATACTACATATACTATGAGATTGACTCCATCCGTATCTTAAATTTTATTACTTAGAACTTTTGTTTATGGAAAGATGATGGGTTGTTCATGCTGTAGTAATACAGCACCAATACGGGCGCACGCGTCCATTTCGATAAAAAAAAGAACAACGAAGTCAGGTAGCCGAAAGACGGGAGCCGTAGACATAGCTTCCTTTAATTGTTGAAAGGCCCGAGTAGCCCCCTGAATCTCACCGAAAGGAGTCCTTCTTCATCATCATATCAGTAAGGGGCGCTGCTATGTGTGAATAATTACGAACAAAGGCCAGTCGACCATGGCCTAGATCTTGGTTCTATCGGCATGTAGTTCCCCTGCCGTAATCACATGCCCAAAATACTCAATAGAAGCTTGGCCGAAGGAGCACTTGGAGCGTTTAATGTAGAAAACCTGGGCATGTAATGTGCTCAACACACGCTGTAAGTGATCCCGGTGCAACGGCAAGGTGGAGCTATAGATTAGAATATCGTCAAAAAAAACCAAAACGAACTTACGGAAAAACGGGGCTAGCAACTCATTCATACAAGCCTGAAACGTGGATGGGGCGTTGGTTAAACCAAACAACATTACTAGAAACTCATAGTGGCCCTCATGAGTTCAAAATGCTGTTTTGTAAATATCCTTCTCCGCCATGCGAATCTGATGATAACCCGACCAGAGATCCAACTTGGTGAAGTAGCGAGCGTGCCCGAGCTCATCAAACAATTCACCAACTGTAGGAATGGGAAAATGATCTGGAATAGTAATGGCATTCAGGGCACGATAATTAATACAGAACCGAAATGTGCCATCTTTCTTCTTAACCAAAAGCACCGGTGAGGAAAAAGGACTTCGGCTCAGCCGTATCAATCCTTGGTCGAGCATCTCCTTGACTAGGCGTTCAATTTCTCCCTTATGATAATGGGGGTAGCGGTAAGGGCAGACGTTTACTTGAACACTCCCGGGTTGCAAAAAATGCGGTGGTCAGCGATTCGATGCGGTGACAGACTCGTGGGTAACTCAAATATGGCTGAGAAGGACTCCAACAAATCTGCAATTGGTGCTGGGATGGGTTCGGAAACCACGCCTATCCCCCTGGTTTGGCGTGGCTATCGAGTAAAAGAGGCAACATTTCATAATAGGCCACAACCTGCTGTCCAGTACTGAGAGCTTTAAACATTGAAAAGAAGACTTGCTTAGGCGTGGTGCCGCCCCGAAGCTGTACCAGATTCCCTTCCCAAGTGAATTCCAACGTCAATTGCGCAAAATCTTGGGCCACTTTGCTGAGTTGCTGCAGCCATTGGACACCCAAAACCAAATCTTGCCCATGAATTTGTAGAACAAACAAATCAACCAAAAACAAATGAGTTTGCATGAGGAGGCACACCCCCACACACTGTGACATACACGGCATGGCGTCCCCGTTCCCTACATACACCCGGAATGGAGGAACAACGGTAATGGGTAACTGTAGCTTTGCCACGACTTCCGGATGAATAAAATTATGGGTGCTACCCCCATCAATTAACACCCGAGCATCCTGAGTGCCGGCGCGCCCCATCAAGCGTAATGACTGCGGAGGCTGAAGACCCGCAAAATTATTCAAGCTAGAGATGTCAGCCGTCACAACTAAGTCCTCCGCGGTTAGAGGAGTCGAGTCGTCATCGCCCTTGGGTGGTCCTCGACGCATGCCACCGGAATGAGAAAAGGGCGGCCGTTGCTGGAAGGATTGAACGAGGGCCGCATGTCTCTCTTCCAGTTCGCGTGCCATGGCAAACGAAGCAGACAACATCGTTGGTTTAAGCATAGTGATCTCCTGTTGCAAATGATGCTGCAGCGCGGCGTGGAACAAGGAGATCAAAATCTCTTCGTTGGATCCCGTAATGTGCTGCAATACTTTCTCGAATTCCTCATGATATTCCATAACAGTCCCGTGTTAGCGAAGCTTGGCCAACTGTCCAAAATAGTCAATGTACTGATCTGGATCGAATCGACGTTTAAATTTATCCTCAAAGTCCTCCCATCCGTCCAATAAGTTATTCTTCATCCGCCACCGGAACTAGTCTGCCGCCGAACCCTCGGCCATGAGGGCCACACATCGCAAATGTTCTTCAGGCGGGGTATCGTAGAACGCGAAATATTCATTTACCTTGTAGAGCCACCGTATGGGATCAGAGCCGTCACACTTTGGTGACTCCAATTTAGGTTTTGGGGCGTAAGAAGACCCCCCGATCATGCCCGTCGTCATGCACAGGTAATCGACAGCCGTGAGGCCGCTGCACATGAGGGTGTGCCCTGCATAGCCAACACCAATCCTTCAACCCTAGCATACTGGTCATCAAGCCTAGTGGCCTGGGAAGCCAATCGAATCTCAAATTCTTGTTGTAACTGCTTTGCATTGTCGGCAATGGCATCTTGTAAGTCCTTGAACTGAGCATCCAAGGTGGCCAATTGATCGGGGATGTTTGCGAGATCAGAAGACATGTTGGCAACAAAAGCACCAATGATACGAATGTATTGGGGTAGGGAAGGCTTCGAGTGCCTTCGGACTCCAGAAGGTGAGGTGGAGAGAGAGAGAGGAACGCACGCAGCTCCTGTGGCGGCGAGAGAGGCAAAGATAGAGAATAGGGTTCTCTTATTTTTCTTCTTGTCACTACAAGAAAATTGCTGATCTGCAACGGAAAAATTTCGTTGCAGAATTTGAAATTCCGTTGCAGATTTCTATTATGCGACGGATGTGCAACGAAATTTTTCCGTCGCAGAAAAGTTGTGGCAGATTTAAAATCTGCGACGGAATGCACAATCCGTGGCTCGCAGACCTGCAACGGGATTTTCAGTTTTTCATCAAACAAAATCTTTGGGACGGCGCGGGAGGGCGTGGCTGGCGCGACTGGAGGGTCTATCGTGGCTGGCGAGGACGTGCGTCGGCGGCTGGCGGAGGGCTGGCGTTTGAAGGACGGCTGACGGAGAGAGAGAATTGGGATTAAGGTAGAATGATGAACGATATTAAATAGCATAATCCTTTTGCCACACCGGAGGTTGCCTAAGCCAACCACCCCAGCGGACACCCTGTGCATCCACTGTCCGAGCCTCCTCGTCCCTCGCGGTCCTTACATCTGAATCTTCATTATCATTTCTTTCCACCCGAGGGACACCATCGGTCTGCATGGGCTCGGCATCTGTCATAACATACATTTTATATATTTTTACTCCTAATTTAGTCTTTTTCTTTCTTTCAAGAACCTAAGGCAAAGGTGTGGTTTACTGTGGTGTCTGGGGGCATACCTAAATTCAGATCTTAATAATTGCACTAAGAGGTAGCTATAATGTTTTACTAAGTATATGGCTTTTGTAGGTACTAAGTGTAAGCTAAATCATTTCCCACAAATATATATGGAGTAATGGACTTAATTTACTTCTTCTCATGTGATCGTTTGATATGTTTTGAAAAACCATGGGGATGGGATTTATAAGGAGTATAATTTTTGTAAAAATGGGTGAGTTACATTTTTAAAAGTACCATGCTACACTTACACCAAAAATTGTACCCCATTTGTACACCGCAGTTATATACAAACATTTTGATGGTTTATACCGACACAAGTGTTGGTGCGTTAACAAAAATTTACATTGACACAAAGTATTGGTGCATTAACAAAAATTAGTTTTATACCAACACAATATGTCGATGAAAACCTGCCGTGTACAAATGAACTACAAAAGTTTGGGATACAAATAGCTTTATCCTTTTTAAAATAATGTGTCGTGCAAAATGAGACGATTGGAAGGGTACCAAAACCCAGTAATAATAATGATAAAATATTTGAAGGTCCGTACTCTGACAACGATCACTGAAGGATGGTGGCACATGCCCCCTGTCAACACAGGCCTTACTCAACGCTCCAGATCTCCCCGTACAGTTCCATTCAACGGCTCAGATTCATCTTTCCGAAACCCCCCCCCCCCTTCTCTGATAGAGCACGGTCCAAGAAAGGGAAGAATAAAGTAAAGAAAAGAATGAGCCATTACTACACACACTACACTTCACTACCTC